GGCCGTCTACGTTACATTAGTCCATGAGCCTTCTTAATGTCAAGGTGGGATGATGCACTCACCATCATCGTCTGAGGGATGTTGGTCTTGACATATACGACTGCGCCTAGCTCGAGCAAGATGTCCACAAGCGGAGAGTTCTCCTTCGACGCGGCATGATCCAGGAATGAGACGAATCCGATAGTGGCCGCTGAGCCAGCAACTTGGAAAGCATCTTTGAGACTGATGGGTAGACCGTGGAGAGGGCCTACGATACGACCGCTAGCTCTTTCGCTGTCGAGGAAGCGTGCTCGCTCTTGTGCTTCAGCAAAGTATGTCTCTGTGAGACAAGACAGCTATAACACTACGTTAGTGGCTTAATCTCCTTTCTGAAGGCAGATCTGACGTACCAACTGCTGTGCCATGGCTGCTCTCTTCGAGAACGCTATGGTAACCTCCAGTGACGATAGAGTACCATCCTTCAGCTGCTTCAACAGCTCTTCAACAGTATACTTCTCGGTAATCTCCAGTTCCTTCTCGTTCAGCAGTCCCGACTTTTGGGCAATGCCCATCTTCATCAAGCGATTTGGATGTTCTGAAAGCGGCATCTGGAGCAAGTCCGTGACTGATGCTGGAAGAAGCCATTCTTTTGGTATCTTCTCGCGACTGGACTGCTGCTTTGCAGCAACCTTACTCTCCCATGAAGTGGAAGCCATAGTCGATGAACGAAGGGAATTCCTGAGTCTCGGAAAGATTCGAGTTGGAAGAATACGGGCTGGACGCGTAATATTGGTAATGACCAGCATCCGGAGATGCTAAGATATGTATATCATTGGAATACTCAGATGCCGTAGTATCTATCCGTAGCTGAATAATGCGGGGTCCAGATCTCGTCCGCATGATCGCGAGACAAAGTGTTGATATCTGGCCGTGTCGGAGCAACATTTCGTTTCGTGTCTGAGCGGCAGACGTTAGCGCGACACTACCCCACAGCCGCCAGCGCCAAGCCGGTGGGTTATTTAATTCGCAATTCGCCCAATTCGCCCCGTTCGCCTGCGGAAACACGCAATCCGGGGTTCGAGATAGGGATGCGCAGATAACGTACAGAACACAGCTGACACTGCCTCAGCGGTCGCTGTGGTATATATACGCACGAAAGCTCTGGATAACAGTGGGGAAGATATCCACGCAACAAGCTCCATGCCTGCGATAGACAACCTCTTCAACGCGATTATTTTTGTTTCGTACCCTCCTGAGAGCGATGGCCGACAGCAATGGCTCCAGACCGGATGATGGCACTTTTTGGGCTCCGGGAACGCTACGACTAGAGGATTGTAAGACTCGCATTTGCCGCTGTAAAGACCGCACACTGACTGTCCCGCTGTAGTGACGGGACCCGCAACGGACGTCATCCTCCACCCAGTGCCTAGCACCGAACCAGATGACCCCTTGAACTGGAGCAAATTGCGCAAGACCATCAACTTCGGCTTGACCGGCTTCTTCGTCCTTTGGACATTTGTACAGCTCCAGAGCGGCACGACATCATGGGGTCAAATTGCGCCTGAACTGGGCTTCAGCAACGATCAGCTGAACAATGGAGGCGCTATGAGCTGTGCTGGGCTCGCAGTCGGCTGCATGCTCTTCATGCCGTTCGTACACAAGTACGGACGACGACCTCTGTACCTGCTCAGCTCTGCGCTCCAGTTGAGTGGGGTGTTGTGGCAGACCCAGATGGCGAACTATGGTGACTATTTGGGCAGCAACTTCCTTGCTGGACTGGGCGGTGCTATCAGCGAGGCCGTCATCCAGATCACCATTGCCGATTTGTTCTTCGTCCATCAACATGGAACAATGAACGCATGGTACCTCGTCTTCACGTCCGTGGGTGCCTCCCTCGGCCCGGTAGCCGCCGGCTTCGTTGTGGAGTCGCAGGGCTGGAGATGGATCTGGTGGTGGTGCACAATCTTCCTCGGTCTAAACTTCGTCCTCGTCATGTTCTTTTTCGAAGAGTCCAAGTACGTCCCTTTTCTCAATGGTCAGAGTGTGCCACATACGGCTGGCACTTCTGGCTCGGATGGACTCGAGGACGGCCGTCCCGACTCAGGGCTGCAAAAGGCCACAGACGGCAAAGGCGACGCAAAGCACACCGCCATGGAGCGCATACAATCCCGAATTGACACCTCCTTACCGCGAAAGACTTATCGTCAGCGCATGGCCATCGTCACCCCTTCCAATCAACGCATCGGCCACCACTTCTACCAGCCAATCGTTGTCTTGTTCACTTTCCCTGCCGTGGCCTTTGCTGCACTCACTTATGGGACCCTACTGGCGTGCATGGCATTGATGAGCTCATTACAGGCCGTCTACCTGTTGCAACCACCATACAACTTTGGAGCTTCTGGCGTTGGACTCATGAACATTGCTCCGTTCGTTGGCACGTTCTTTGGATTCTTCGCGGGTGGTTTCCTGAACGACAGATCGATCATGTACTTCGCCAGGCGCAATGAAGGCATTTACGAACCAGAGATGCGCCTGTGGATCACTCTTATCTCAGCAATCCTGCTCCCGGGCGGTATCCTGATGTTTGGGCTAGCCTTAGACAGGGTATGTTGGTAACACCTGGCTTTAATGATGGTTCACTAATAGCTTCTTCAGGGTCTGCACTGGATGATATTGGCCGTAGGATTCGGGCTGTTCGGTTTCACATTTGTCCTAGCTAGTGGTGTCGCGCTATCATACGTGACAGATTGCTATCAAGAGGTGAGTCGACAGCTCCCAGTCTATTCGAAGCGGAGTTCCCACTGACGTGACAACCTTCAGATCCTCGGAGATGCTATGATAGGCATCGTCTTTGTCCGGAACCTATTCGCCGTGGTCATCCTCTTCGCACTCACGCCGTGGACGAACAACATGGGTATACAGAACGTCTCCATCATCACGGCGGCTGTATGCTTTGCGATCTTGCTAATCCCCATCCCCTTGCTATTGTGGGGCAAGAAGATCAGGGTTGCGACGGCGACGAAATACAAGCGCATGGCAATGCGACAGCCAGCCCATAGAACACTTGAGTAGTGTGCACGATGGGTATCGCATCGCTACGCTGTTCCTGGAAGAAGTGGAGCGGTCGGAGTGCTTGTTCCCGTGCAAACGACTTCGTATAGTCGTCCCATCTCACCCAGATGCTTCCAACTAAAGACTTTCGTTCTTTGAGCTGTGTATCGTTCATAGTCGATAGTGTCATTGAGGAAGCCATGAAACGATCTCGCTCCAATGTATTTGAGCCATACTATCTTTGATGACCCAGAATGCCATGAGTTGCTTCTTGACCTTTGTTCGCAATTCTTTCGAAAACTCAATGACGACGTCGATCTTGTCGAGCGCCATTTCGCGCTGAGCAGAATCGACCAGCTCGAAGCAAGCAAATACATATGGGATAATGGCGCCTGGAACCGAGCGCTTGGTGATTTGGAGTATCATCCGCAGCTCTTCGAAGATAGCATTTGAAATGACAGTGCCTCTCGCTGACGCTGTGCCATATGGATGTCGCAGTCGATGTACGATAAGCAGCACCGACCAGCGATATAGTTTGGCTTGAGACATGATGCTAGCCACCTCTTCCTGCAAAAAACGGTTGATTTGCTCAACGGGCAGGATTGGCGTCCAGGCCTCGACGGCGACTTCGATGTCGTTCAGAGCTTGCGTAATCTCAGATAGATCAAGGTTCGGATTCTGGCGTAGCGAGTCGGTGATCTTGCAAACATCGTAAAGATACGGTAGCATAGGCCAGGCAATTCCCATATATCGATCAACCATGTCATCGGTCTCTTGGACTTCGAGCCGCAGGGTTGGAGCCTCGCCCCGTATGATGCACTCTTCGGTCTCCGCCTGAATGAGGCAGATGACGAAGGCCTGACAGTCCGGACTGAGCTCCACTGTCGATTCGTATATGGGCTTGATGATGTCGAGAGTGTGTCGACAGATCTCTAATGAGCTCCCGGATATGTGCAGGGCAAACGTGATGGCGCTCACTGCAAGCATCAACACGGTCTGAACGTCTCCAGGGTCGACGGCTTTAACAGACCGTAAAGTGGAAACGGCAGAGGCAGCCCGCCTGTGGCCAATGACTCGGTCCTCATGGTTTGGGCCAGGCTCGTACTCGCAAGCTAGGAGGGCCGCGGTGGCTATCAACGAATCTTGTACCCACGACGTTGCGTTGTGGAGCTGACGCGCGAAGGCTTTGTGGTGGCAGATGCGGAAGCTTGGCGCGATGAGGAACTGGTCGATGCGCGTTTGGCCTTGGGATACGCCCTTGACGAGGTGCATCTCCCGCTCACTCAGATCCGCGAACGGGGATGGAGCCCTGGGCAGCGCGACTATGTCCCAATCCGGCATCGCTGGGCTCGCGGCCGAGGCTGGGCATCTGGGTGACGAAGAAGCAACAGAAAGGCTGTCGCTCCGAGCCGTCTGTAGCGGGCTGCGTGTCGTACCCTCGGTGCGCTGATACCGAGGTTTGCGGCCAGCAGTGCCAACTGGTCGTAGGGTCTGGCATGAGTTGCGGAGGCGTTGGCATCGCTCGCAGGCATCCTGGCCGGGGACGCGCCTGCATCTCTCTTTCACGGCATGGCATCTGTCGCATGCTCGTCTTGCTGGCGGTCTGGCCATCGCGGGCGCTCTCCGGTGGGTCGCAGTGGATACATGCTCAGTGAAGGGTGGTGTCTGGAGAGCAGGCAAGGTAGCTGAAACACCGGCGGGTGCTGAGTAACGAAACACGTGCCGTCCGGCAATCCCCGCGTCGCTGGCTTCAATCAACCGAGAAAGACATCGACCTGGAATCTTGTTGTATACACTAGAATATACATTTGTGAGTTGATAATACGATCATGATGCAAGTGTTTGTTGTGCTCTTCTCCGTCGCGTGTCGAATCTCGGTAAGTTAGTGAGAGATTCATGGAAGGAACGCCCCGCAGACTGAAGCTTCATGCGCGTTCACGGAAAGCACGCGTCTCTATGACGCGGCTGCCATGGAGGGAAAGCACGACAGTCATCAACATCGCGACTGGGTAAAACTTCCAAGGTTTGCGAGGCCCAATATCGACGTTCTGCTCATCCACCATCACTCATCCTCATCTCTTATCTTTCATCCCTCATCTCTTATCTCATTCCTCATTCTCATTCCTCCTCTCTTATCTCTCATCAATACCCCGCAACAGAACAAAAAGCAGAAGGAACCGAAACCGTCTGCAGCGGTGTTGGAGACAAGGCTCCAGACTGCATATACTAGCTTCACTGCACGAGCCCCGGCAACTCTGAAGCCAACCGAAGTACCCATCGACATCGGTTCCCTGGCAGAATGGGTGACTCTGCTGAACACGCCGACTGAGTTTGGGCTCCCGTTGAGTTCGCGGAGGAAGGAACAGACCCGGACCAAGTTCGACACCGCCATGGACCTCACCAATCGGGGTGTCGCATACCTGGAGAACGTTGTGCCTGCACTAGTCAAGGCAAACATGGCGATGAAAGAAAGGCTCAGATCACCTTCTAGCGAATCCATGATGCCCGATAGCGTTGCACCGCCCCCGCGTCGGTCTACAGCAGACGATGGCCTGCATCCTTGCACATCGTCGCTCCACTCCAACGACTGCAGCGGCACAGCAGATGAATTCGCCTCTGCGCCTGACAGAACGACTAGCGAGACAGCAATGATCGACGCTCCGCCTCTGTCTCCGGAGGAAGCTGTGTGCGAGCAGGGTGCGGGTGGTCCAAGCCAATTTGGCGAGTACGAAGAGTAAGTCGTGCACTTATACAATAATACAGCTGCTTACCGTAAATAGCGGCCTCATGATCGAACCGCGCGATGAGCAATATCTGCCGTCGCCTGAAGACTGGATGTGTACACCAGACGGAGACCTGGCGCACGGCATCGTAGACGAGCAAGCCGACGACAATCCAGCCTTCCAATAGCCTACCGAAGCGTCGGAGGAAGCCATGACACCCCGGACCCCTCGCCTTCGGCTGGTGATGCCAAACAAGCCGGCCCTCAAGCCACGAGAGTTTGGTGAGACAGACCTACCAGGAGTTCTATGCATTCCGCCGAGCGATGACTTTAATAACCACCACGGTTGTGTCCACTTCGACAGCATTTGGCTCATCGGTGGAAGCTGTTCTTGGAACAAGGGATGACTTTGACCGGGGCATGTTGATGTCGGAAAAGACCGCAGAGACGATTACAAGGGCGACGAAAACCGTGCCGCTCGATACGCCGGGCACGCGGAGGTGACGATAGGCCACAGTAAGCCGGAATCCAGGCATCTGGTCGATCCATCCGTGCGTCAGAAGCAAGAGCAAACGCTAAAACGGCTCGTTTGCGTTATCCAAATTCTTTGTACACCGCGAACAAGTGCCTCCAGATCTTCGAAGGCATTATATTTATCGGGAGGTAGAGCAAGCTTACTTCCTCTGTAGCAGTCGCGATCTAGACAGAACTGCGGAGTCACAGTAACGTCACTGATCTATCGAGCCTTGCAGACCACAAATGAATTGGCACTTGCACAAACACGATGCATATGACACGTTGGAGAATGTGCTCAAATCGCGAGTCGTGTTTGAGCGCGTAAACTTCATCCTACATGTATACATCGTCTTTGGTCCCCCGTATCTCACTAGCCGCATACGTAACCTTCTCTGTTTGTGTTTCGGGGCCCTACTCGTCTCCATGCGTGCACTTTTCTCGATGCGGAAAGAACAAAGCCCAGGTCATTCCGAGCTTCTCTTACCTGATTTTGAGAGATCTTGAGCCGCACAGCTTTCTCGATGGCTTCAACAGTATGTGTCAATAGAGCCTTTGAAGCCTGTATCGTACAATCCTGGTTCAACACCCGACTGGTCACGCAGCTTCGGGGATGACGGACAGTAGTCAGTAGGCTGCAAAGCCGTTACCGAGTAATTTTGCGTTGGTTTGTGACGTGAAAAGTCAAGGTGAGAGGGCTTGACGTCACCTAGTATCGCCGCTCCGTCACCGCGTCTTGCAATCTCTGCTCTCACCTCTGTTTATATAAGCGAGGCTGCTCAAGTAATGAAGGTCAACACTGTTTCTGCACCCTATCTCTGCACATCTCCACCACCGCACTCGACAAAACCATGGCGGATCCCAGCGCTCTCCAAGTCGCGCTTACACAGCAAGCCGACAGCGAGATGACTGCTGCTTCCAACAATCCCAGCGATGCAGCCTCTCGAGACATCCCCAGGAACAGGCCCACCGGCGCTGACACCGTTAACCCTACATTTCCTGGCGATGACCCCAGCGGGACTGGCAGCACCAGCGCCCACGATGACTTTGCTTTCCGAAAGAGAGAAGCCGTGACCACAGCTTGGGAACAGTGGACCCGCACTAGCAAGCCAATCGATGACAAGCTCAAGGACTGGAATGACACAATCACCGACAGTCAGTTCGTCGACAGTGTCATAGCTGAGCTCGAGCGCGCTTCGTCCTCTACAGCTGCAAAGCTCATTGGTGTCCTCAAGGCCGAGAATGATCTTCTCAAGAGTTCAAACAAGACACTGACCACCCTCGCCAAACACGTCGGAGAGGACTTGGCTGGACAGACGACCTCGTCGGCTGGTGTGTACCAAGCACCCGGTCTTCAATACCCTATGCGTCCGCAGACCCTGCTTCGATGGTTCAAGCGTTTTGCTGATGCAGGATGGGCCGTACCCGCAGGTCTTTCAATGACCAAGGACAGGTTCGTTGACGAGCGTTACGGCTGCCCTGAGGATTGGCATGGCACCAATACAGTCTGCATATGCGACGACAATTCCGGTCTCATCATCCACAAGGGCTTTCGCGATTTTTTGGACCAGCAGCGAGGATGTGTCCACGAGGCACCGTATGCACTGGCGATGTGGCTCTACCTTTCTCGATACAACATCTTCTGGCCCAAGCAGACTGTGTCTTCATGGTTCTTCGAACAGGCATCGCGCATTGACTCTCGCCATCAATTGGACTTTGCTGCTATGGATGATGACCAGCACATGAAGGCTTGGCTGAAAGCCACTGCTGCCGAGCTGCCTAGCATCTGGGACCAAGTTCTGCAGCGCCAGGAAGAAGATGACCGCACGATCTCTAACAAGCTATGGGCCCCGGTCGCGAAGTTCGTGAAGGACCACGAGCACGACATGCTCGAGCCTTTGTGCGATGTCTACAACCAACTCGGCGACGACGAATTCGATCTCAACGAAGCAGAGCCCCGGATGACCCAAACTGCGCATGATGTATTTCTTCTTCGCCTCGCTCAGGGTGAGGCCCCAGCCACCGTTCTGTCTAATGACCAAGAGATGCATTCGTTCAATCACCTTCGCGTAGCCGCTCTCAAGGAGGTGCCTACTGGACCTGATCGCTATACCCGCGCTTTGGGGAAGATGATGACCTTCGATTTGCGAGTACAGTGGATGAAGCACAAACCATCACCGGAGTCCAGCCAATCCTCCATCAACATTCTCGATGGTGCCAACGCGGACGAACCGATGGTTATCGATGACGACTAGCCAGGACGACATGACTAGCGGCGTAAGCGGCAGGCTTGGGAAGTGAGGGACTGATGACTAGGTACGACGGAAGACAACAACTGAGGATACCATGGGAGGGGATATGGCGATGACTAAGTGGTATACATATGGCGCCGGCATCGGCTGGTTGCAGGGACTTCAAGGATGACTGTCTCCGATGAAGACTGTGGATACCAAATGACACTGATGAAAGTTAACATTGGCCCCAAGTGCATGGTGAATCAATGAAGACCTGATGGTGTGCTCGTGAGAATATTCATCTCTTTCCCAACGCCCATGCAGATGTGACACTTTCTTGATCCTGAGAAGTGACTGCCATGAACTTCATTAAAAGATATATCAATGCGCTATCCCCAAAAAAGACCTCGCCTTCTGATCAGACAACGACCTCGCATCACTCTCAATCGTAACCGTAACCGTATTCGTCGTCAAAATCTGATCCTCCTCATACACCGTCCCCCGTCGACTTCTTCCCATCTCTTCATCCTCCAAAATGCCCCTTTGGCTCCAGTCATCTCCCTGATCCTCAATCACCGTCCAGCGCCCCTCCTTCCCTTTGCCCGTCGCATGTACAGTCGTGGTTGTTGTAGAGTGTTGGCTTTGGTTCAATCGAGACAGCGGGACGCTTTGGTTGGTCTTGGTATGCGAGCGCGAGTACGAGGATATGGTTTCCTTGAAGAAGACGCGGAGAACGGGGATGGAAGCGGCGATGATGGCGGTTGCGGTTTCAACGCCGGTCCAGATGGTGAGTTCTTTGCCGTTGTAGGAGAAGTCTTTTTGGCCGAGTTGGATTACGTAGACGCCTTTTACGATGGCGCAGACACCGGATCTGGGGAAGTCGTGTTAGCACTGCTGCAACATTGGGAAGTTCAGCGAAAGATTACTTACAGTACACCCATGCTCATGGCGATGCCCACTCCGATCTTCTCGCGGAGCTTCAGTTGTAATCCCCATATCAGATACCATGGAAGCAGCGCTAGCGCAAAGTCTGCCGCAGCACACCACGCAGCGTTGAAAATACCATAGTCGATCGAGTGGCTAGAGTCCCAGCATGTTCCGGGGAGGTCTTTGTTCCAAGCTTTTGCCATCGGCTGGCACTGGACCCATGTAGCCAGCGCACTTGGCAGCATTATGAGGAAGAGGGTCACGATGCAGAACCATACGAACCCGCGTAGGTAACCGGATGTGAGGCGAAGGAGAGTGACGCCGAAGGATATCTTCGAGAGAGTGGAGGCGAAACACGAGATCGATGCGGCGACGGACATTCCGACTGCGATGGTCATGAGGTATTTGGGGTTCACATCTTCCAGTCGTTTTCCGAATCCCATTTGTTGTCCAACTTGTGTGATGATAGCCTGCGCGAGAAGGAGGACCTGTTCATTCCCATTAACGACATCACACGAACGGAAAGACGAAGACTTACCCATGAGACAGTCAGGATGTGATCATCCCACCAAAGCCCCTGCTTCCTCGATAACTTCGCATAGAATCTCAAAGCCAGAAACCCACCACTCAATATCGTCAACATCCACGTTACTCCAGCAATTACAGGGCCATTATCCGGCACACCCATCTCGGTGCGGATCAGTCTGGAGGACCACCAATTCGTATAAGCCCGCGAGAATATGCAGTCATGCGTACTGAGCGTGCATGCGAGGATCGTAGCGAAAAAGGCAAAGAAAGGGCTGTGGATTGTGGGGATGGGAACCATGAAGAAGGATCAGCTACCGGCACTTCGCACACGGTCCCGATCATACCCAATGCCTGTAGTCCATCATCTCGGTATTCGCCGTACACTGGGGCGGAAACGAAGAGTGGTAGTGATGGGATGCTAGATCGACTACTTGACACGCGACATGGCGTGTTTGGAATCGGTACACTAGAAGCATGTCGTCGGGAAGTGGAGTCGGATCAGGCTAGTATGGCGAAAACACCACAAATGTTGCAATATGCCTAGTAATGGGTATAAGTGCATTGCTCGAGCGTTAAGCCTGTAGAAGGAAGCGGCGCCGTTAGCTGCACGTCCGGCAACGATTTCCAGCCAAGCGTTCATGTAGCGACGGAGAAGCCTGAGAGAACACGATCGTCTAGCGGGCTGAACTGGGATGGACCCTCCAGGTACCTGGGCCCCGGAAATGAACCACGCGGCATGGGAGCTTTGCGACCTGAAGGACGGAGTTGAGTCGTCTACATGAGGCGACGGGCGCTCCGTGCAGATGTGCGTCTAGGAAGTCTCAGACCCGCGGGATGTGCGATCGATTATACGATTCGTCGGTCCGATCATGCAGCCACTGGATCTCGAGTTCTAGGCCATTAGCGTCGCCATCCGAAATCGCATGCACTTGTGCGACCACGCGACTATGCGATGATCATATTCTCCATGGGATTTCGGGAGTTCAAAGTAACTTTCGGTGACAGAAGCCTCTTGACGCCCGAAGCTAGAAGATGCCGCAAACTTTGTGGGCAGCGCTGGAGTGACGCGGCGTCGGTGTCAAAAGGCCGGCGTTACCGAGCTACCACATGGCAATAGAGTTTGCGCCACATTTAGCACGCAAGACACCCGCTAGCTCAGACACGAGCGAAGAATATGTGTGGTCGCCGATAGCTCGCGCTGGGCTGAACGATTGAACTGGGCGGGATGATTTGCCCGAAGATTTGACGTTGGGCTGGAGCGACGAACGTGCACAAAGGCCTGTGATAAATCCGGTGAAAGGCGGGAAGGTTCGGAATCAAGTCCGCAACGACTCTTGCTACTGAGTATGTATTCAGGCTATATTGGACGGCTGATCCCCAAGCCGGCCTGTTTCCCATCCCTATACCACAAAGATGTACCCGCGACTGCTACTGGAGCATCGCCGCCAGTGTATCATACTCTACCCCTTTTTGTTGAACTGCTTCAGCTTGTCCTGCACGGCTTGCTTGAGATCAAACCCTTGCATCACGCTGCCCCTCCTCTTCCTTTGCTCGATCTCAGCCTTGACTTCGGCCACGATCTCGTCAATCTCCGCCTCGGGGTCATCCGCAATACCCAGGAGAGGCATCTTGGCGTGACTCTTAACACTGTCTGACGAGTTGGTCCTCGCTAGCCTTTCTCGTCGAATCTCCTCCCGTGCTGCCTTCTCAATGGCAGGATCATCGTATGTGGTGGCTGCCGCTGGGGGCGCACGAGCCGTCTGAAGTTGAACGAGCTGCTTGCGGATGGGGAACGACCGCGAAAAGACAGCAAATGATCCGGCCACACCGATGAGAGTGTAGAAGTAAACCCGTGCCCAGATCTTGATCGTATCCGAAAAGCCAAGAAGGATGAAGGGAGCGACTACGAACGCAAACACAGTCTGTGTAAGGACGACGCAGAAGAGGTCGTAGTATCGCTTCGAAGGTAGAGGTGATTTCCCGTCTGGCGTCATGAACAGCGGACGGATCAATCGGCGGCCATCTGGTGAATGTCAGCATGAAAGCAGATAGCGCATCATCAGAGACCTACTCTTCGCAGCAGTTTGTACAAGAGCTGCCAGAATGAAGGCCATGTAATAGCCAGGGTAGAATCCATGCCAGAATGCGCTAGTCACAAATGTGGCAAGCGTAGCCCTGAAGCCAGGTTTCTGTCCCTTTGGTGTCACACGAAGATACATGTAGTTCTTCAGCCAAGTGTTGGTGTTGATGTTCCAGAAACCAAGGTAAGCACGAGCATTCTGCGCGGCCTCAATCTCGAGTGGCTTGATGTTGGTGAGACGGTCCCATTTAGCTCGACCAGTCTTGGGGTCAAGACCGTTGTAGCCGATTCCGGAAAGGATACAAGATCCCTCAGATAGACTCCAAACTGCGTAGTACTTCATACGCGTGGTAAGACCAAGCATGTAGAGCTGCCAGATCCTGCGGAAAAAGTTGTATTGCATGTATTCATCCCCGAGGTAGAATTCAGGGTAGTACCAGCTGGAGAATTTGATGAATGCGACCAGCCAGAGAGTTCCGTAGACTCCTTTGGTTACGGCAGGCATGCCGCTGCGAGGAATCTTCCGCTTCTTGCGCGTTGGGGGTGCCTTGGACGGATCGGTGCCTGGTGGGAGGGTGAACATGGTCGTAGTGATGTACTGACTGTAATCGGCGTAGTCAAAGGCTGGACCAGCCATGAGGGCAGGAAAGAAAAAGACATAGCCGACGTAGTCGATCATGCTGGGCATTGTCCGGATAGCGTGGGCGCGCTGTTGCTCGGAAAGCTCAGAGTCCGGAAGGCGACCATCCTGGACGTTCCAGCAGAAAGCAGTCAGCTTCATGACCAGGACCATTTGAGCTCCGGTAATGTCAAAGACCGATGGGTCATTCACAGCTTGTCGGTAGATGTGGTTCACCGACATGTGGCCCATGAGAAATACGAATCCGATCCATGGCATGTACGGCGAGTGGATCTTAGAGGAGATGAGGTAGGCCCCGCCAGCACTGATGAAGATGGTCCGCAGGCCGGTCCACAAGTCAAAAAGGCCAACAAGGTAGAACATGGAGACGCTGGAGCCATTAACACCAGTTCATCCAAAGCAATATTTGATGAGCCTCACGTAATGACGAAGACATTCTTCTTCCATGGGTCCTTGTCGGGAATCCTTTTCAACACGGCAGCTAGAGGATACGACAGGTAGAAGGAGAAAATGAGCTTGACTGGGTGGAGTCAGCAGAACATCAGCCACATGTGCCATGTGAGATCTTACGCTCATCAGCCGAATTTCCAAGCGCACCAGCCACATATTCAAAAGCTTCACCATGGTCAGTATTGGTGGTAGTGGCTCATCATGCTAACACGTACGTGCGTTGATGTAGGGCAACATGGTGCCAACTGTCAAGCTGACGCAAAGTCAGACCCAGAAGATAGACGGGTAGAACCAGAAGCGGTGAGAGTTGAGAAACAGCGGTATTATATGGAAGGCATCGGTCCTGTGTCGGGCGGCGGAAAGTTAAGTGAAAGCATGCAGACGCAAGTGCATGGTGGGTGAGAAGCCAAGATGACGTCGGGGCACGTTTGCCGAGGCCCGTGCAGGGCAGCTCAGCGCTCACTGGCCAACAAATTCGCGACAGAGTTGGGACGCGACTTCGCGAATCCTCCACGGGCGCAACCACGGCGCATCCGGACAACGGCACTGATAACGCCCTGATAACGCACCTCGATAGCGGAACTCCGTCGCCGACATGGCCACGACGTACAACCTCGAGCCGAACCCGACGGCCAAAGTCGTCCTGCACACGACCACGGGCGATCTCGAGATCGAGCTCTTCGCCAAGCAGACGCCCATCACGTCGCGCAACTTCCTGCAGCTGTGTCTCGATGGCTACTACGACAACACCGTCTTCCACCGCCTCGTCAAGGGCTTCATCCTGCAGGGCGGCGACCCCACGGGTACGGGGCAGGGCGGAGAGAGCAGCTACGATGGCGAGCCCTTTGCCGACGAGTTCCACAGCCGGCTGAAGTACACGCGACGCGGGCTGCTGGGCATGGCCAACACGGGCAAGAAGGACGACAATGGCAGTCAGTTCTTCTTCACCCTCGCAGCCACGCCAGAGCTGCAGGGCAAGAACACCATGTTCGGCAGGGTAGCCGGCGACACCATCTACAACCTGATGAAGATGGCCGAGGCTGAGATACGGGACGGCAGCGACGACCAGCCCATGTACCCCACCAAGGTCACGGGCGCCGAGATCATCATAAACCCGTTCGAGGACATGGTCAAGAGGGTGCAGGTGGCTACGACGAATGAGTCCGAGACCAAGAAGCCCAAGAAGGCGAAGAGGAAGGCTGGCAAGAACGTGCTCAGCTTTGGGGATGAAGCCGAGGCTGATGCAGCGCCGGTCGCGAAGAAGCCCAAGTTCAACACCAAGCTGGTCAGCGCAGGAGAGGAGAAGCCTGCAGCCAAAGCATCCGAGGAGACGAGAGAGATACCCATACGCAAACCGTCGCGAAAGTCGCCGCCACGATCCCCATCGCCCAAACCTGCGCACAAAGCCACTCCCAAATCACCACCCAAACCCAAAGCGCGCACCCCACCACGAGAACTCTCGCCTGAGTCCGAGAAGCGATCGAAGCTAGACCGCGTCAACCAGCAGATTGCCGACCTGAAGGCATCGATGAAGCGGAACACAGCTGCTCAAGACACAGGGCCAGCCAAGAAGAAGTCGCTACTGGAGTCAATGGTACCGTCGACTACAACACGGGGACGGAAACGCGGAGCAGGCGGCAATGCAAAGGACGAACAGTCAGCGCTGGACATTCTCAACAGGTTCAAATCAAAGCTGGACTCAGCAGAATCCACCGCCGCCACGAAAATGGACACTCCAACATTACCAGAAGAAGCACCGAGCAACCAAGGCAACGGAGACGCAAACGGGGCCGACGAAGAAGAAGAAGGTGCATGTGATCTACACTTCATAGTAGGATGCCAGTCCTGTAAAGCCTGGGACAAGCAGGATGAGGAGGAGTCAGACGACGACGCGGGGTGGATGTCGCATTCGCTCAGTTTTGCAAAAGACAGGTTAGGGAAAGACCTGGAGTGGAAGCGGAAAAACGAAGAAGAGTTACTGGTTATCGACCCGAGAGAGGAGGCGAAGCGGCACAAAGCCGAAGGTAAAAAGGACAAAAAAGCACGCGAGGATGCAAAGGCTACCAAGGCCAAGGCTTGATGTACTTTCGATACCCAGATTTTGCGTTCGACTAGACAGGATTGGTCACCGTCTCGCGACATATGGATGAACTGGATATGCAGTCTATCTGCTCGAGCACGGTACCTGCCAATATACCCATGATATTCCCCTCGTCACTTTGATCTATAATCCCATAGCCTGCTTTCCGCGTCGGTCTTGTCGTATCTCGACAAATTTACGTGCCTTCACCACGTCACGCACGTGGAAGATACGCGAGCGGTGTGAAGGCGGAGAAGAGTAGCGGGCAGAGCTGCGCCCTTCCGTATCTTACCGTCACCTTCACTTTTCCCGCCGTATATCTTGAACCTTCTGCCACCTGAACTCTGCTCTCACACACTCTACTACTACCCTAACAACAATTTCGACATCAACGACGTCTGTCACTGATCCCCTGATACCTACCAACAGCTTCACCAACTATCTCCAACAAGTAAGTTCTCCAGCTGCCCAACATTTCCCCAAGTGAGCGGGCTCGCGCCTTGGAGAGTGGTCGCGACAGCTCAAGACAGCCGCTCACGCCCTCGCCCTCTGCGTTTCCCTCCCACCATCGCTGCACGTGATTGCTACCATGATCATCTCCGGCGCCTGCAGTATCTCAAAATCCTAGCTGTACTAACACTCCCCAGTCTCATCACCACAATGCCGATCACCTGGACCAACCCAGAGGTACTCGAGCGCCTGTTCATCGCAACACTCGCCAGCTTCGATAACAAAGTAGGTCCATCCCATGCTACAAATCCTCTACTACAATCCCTCTCAATCACACATACCCCATACTAACCACCCCCTCCCCCCAGGTAAACATCCGCTCAATCGCCACTCTCTACGGCGGCGAAATGACCTACGACGCGCTTGAGAACCGGATGCGCAAGTTCAAGAAAGCAGCTACCGCGCTCAAGGACGAGTCCGCCGACCGTGAAGATACTCCCAAGAGCGTCGCGAAGCCGCGCGCGAAGAAGGGCAGTGCTAGTCCGGTCAAGGGTGGTAAGTGTTTTGTGTCATTGGATGACAAGACGGACGTACTGACTAAATGTACAGCTGTCAAGACCGGTCGCGTTACCAAGAAGAAGGCTCCGGCTGCTCCCAAGATCAAGCCTGAGCCGATGCTTGAGGAGGACGAGGGTATGCATGGTATCGTTGAGGAGGGACTAGAGGCTGGTGAAGAGGTCATTGACGAGATTGAGGAGGAGGTCTAGAGGATTTGGTATCTTCAGGGCTTGCGTTGGTCATTGAGCACATCTGGATCCGACGCTTTGGTCGCTCTGTGGGCTTCTCTAACGACCTGAACATGTTTGCGCTCTTGCATGCCTGTGCTTCGCTGTCGACGCGTACGCGCTGAGACTAGCAGTCAGAAAAGTCGGATTGGATTCATCGAGCGCGCGTTAGCTTCTATGCTACGCAAGTATACTCACCGCAGTGACTACAATGTGTACCTCTAAGTGTCCAAGTCTTCGCATTCTTTCTGAATACATGTTGTACACTCTCCAAATCCAGGTGAATCCACACACTTCCGCACTCACATCCCCCATATCCTCTCCACATCTCACCCTACTCCAACAAATCAAACCTCTTCCTCCCCTGCGGCGTCGGCGTAACAGGAACATATCCACCACTCCTCTTCCCATCCTCATCCTCATCCCCATCCCCATCACTATCCTCCGCCGTTGGCGTCCCTCCCCCAGCTAAATGGCCCATGTCATTTCCGTCGAAGATCATACCACTACGCCTCCCACTCCTCGGCGCATCACCCAGAGTCATTGGTCGAGTCGCACTGCCGTTGACAGATGAAGGGGAGGGCGTCAACGGCGGTGGGAGTGCCGAGAGGCGGAGGGTCGGTAAGGGGGAAGAGTGTAGGCTGGAAAACACGTCGTCATACTTCTGGGCTAGGATCTCGGAGCTCTGGCGATGATGCGTGCTGATGTTGAGTCCCTGTTCGAGGGCTGCAGCGAGGGCTTCGATGTCGCCGGTGGAAACGGAACGGGGGCGGGTAGGGCGTAGGGGCATTTGTGCAGCGACACGTTGTTCACCGTTGGCGATCTCATTGCCTGGTGTGTTTTCGGGCCAGTCATCGTAGGGAGGCGAACGGATGTAACCTGCAGGTTGTAGGCGACCGAGTTTAGAAGCCTTTAGTGCCAGCTTCTCGTTTGCTTTGATCAGTCTCTCCTTGTCTTGCAGCAGGATAGCGATATCAGAACGCAGTTCACGATTTTCGGCCATGAGCGCAATGGCGTGATTTCGTGATCGCTCGACCTCGTTATCGTTTACAGGAGATGAAGATGATTGCAGCGTCTGGTGTCCATGATTGCTGTGGCCTTGACGAATACCATAGCGCTCCAATGGTACATTGCGCTCCTGTTGCATGGCTTCGTAGAGATAGTTCATCCTGATGCCTTCTGCAACTTCCTTCGGGAGTTGCTCTGATGTTGCAACAGTTGTAAGCGGTTTGCCTGTACGCAGATGAGCAATGCGTGGGCCAACTACCATGTCCAGAAACGCATGCAGACGTTCTTGGACGATCGTCTGCCACGATTCGTACTGTGTCCCTCCTTGTGGCTTCAGATGGTTTGCCAACTTGTGCAAGTCCTCCAACTTGGACTGTGCGGTCTCGAGGGCTTCCATCGTTGTAGCATCATGCTCAGGTGATATGTTTCCTGCTGCAGCCAGAATACTGTGTTTCATCTTCTCTGGATCGGCGAAGCGAATCAGCAACGTGTGGACTATCGGGCGCGATAATCGAATTCGGTCACAGATGGAGTCCAACACAATCAGATCGAAGCCATATCCATCACCCGCCTCTTGTGTCTTTGCCAGGAACTCTCCCAGCGCAACCCACCCACGCATGTCCATATTGTCGATTGGTGCATACCAAGCCTCTGGGGATTCCGGCAGCTCAACGACCTCGTAGTATAGTATCCAGATGAGGAAATTGGAGAGCTGCGTGACGTTTAGGGCGTCTACAAATGCTTTGGCGAACCTCGAGATGATGAGTGGTGACGCTGCTGGTACCGGTGATGACGACGGTGGCGTGAGCACTGGATTCTGTACTTCTGGCTCGCGAGATCTGCCGAAGAATCTTCGAAAGCCATTCTGACGCCGCTCAGGTTGAGAGACAGGAGATCCGGATGACGTTGGAGTCGAAGGCCGCATGTTAGTAGATGGTGTAAGACGGTCCGGCCTAGACTTCCTGCCCATCCTGAGTATTGAGGGCTTACGTTGAAGCTTGTCTGATGAGGCCATCGCTGTTCGTGGTTGCGGAGAGCTTCGATGCGGAAACAGTGTAGACTGGTTGAGGCTGCGTGCTGGTTGAACTTTGGTTACAGCACTCGCGGTGAAGCACTGGTAACTGTTTACTCGATGTCAAGTGATTGAATTCACTACGTTGCAGTAATCTTTGCTGATGGTTGTGACTAACGTGGAAGAGCGATTGATCGGATGCAGTCTAGGAGGGACTGATTGAATCGCTCATACCAAGCCAGGTAGACTGTGGAAAGTGGCAACTTCACACGGATTCACTCCAGAGGCTGCAGGTGAGTGGCTCCTGATGATAGGGACTGCTACCATGGTGCAACCCAATTCCTGCGCAATGTCAACCCACAGCTGCCCGATCTTAGTCTCGTCTGAGCACCGAGCAGCATTTGTCGAAACGCTGATCTCGATCATTCGTATTGCAGAAGGACGGATAACTGCTGTTTCATCGACCGCAATTCATCCGTCTGAACAGTGGCTGCCTTCACTTCAGAGTATGTCGAGGTGCTTCCTTGTATATCTCGCATGAAAGTCGTTAACAGTGTTATATTGATTCGTCTACGTCCGTGTTCATATCGGTAGATATCGTGTTGTAAAGCGCGCATCGGTATGGTAGTTGGGTGCGTCTGTTCTCGGCTCTAATCTTCGTCGTGACTTAGTTGCTCGTCATCCGCAAACATCTTTGGTAGATATAGTTTTGTGTTCTCGTATACTAGGAACGTGACGACCGTGGTCGGGATGACTCGTAGCGTGTTGGGTATAACACTGCGATGGTTAGCCTTACTATCCTTCAGATTCCAGAGCGTAGGTGCTTTCTTACCCCTTGTAGAACGCCAGGAACCCTTCGTTCTGGTACGTCTTCCTGAGTACGTCCAGCAGCCCGTTGTACTGCTGTGCAGCGTTGTATTGCTGCAACCGCGCGCGTATAGGTTGGTACGGGTACGTGATTGCTCCAGCAAGCAGCTTGCTTCCACCGCTCATATACACATATTCCCAATTGCTCAGCTTGTCTTGCCCGCCGATATGCGTCCCCCGTCTCTTCTTCATATTCTCGTATATGCTGAACTGTACAGCGCCGTGCAGCACACCCAGTGACGAAGGCAGGAAGCCTGCCCAAAGGCCCTTAAGTCCTCGAGTTTCGTATACGTGTTGGAGGCCAATTTTCATGGATTTGTATGCGGCAGGGTGGTTTGCGCCGCGCTCGAGCATGCGCGTTTTCACGACCCAGATAGGATTCGTGCAGGCACCGGTGAGGAGACCTAGCAAGTGGTTAGCGATGTGCATGAGAGTTCTGTAACTCCAAACATACCAGCGATGATGCTCGCGGAGAAGAACTCGGCACTTCCCAGATGCTCGCCCTTCTGCCTCCTACTCTGGAACAATTCTTTCAGGTTTCCATAGAACAGGAAGTATAGACCCCAACCCAGACTGTTGCCGAGAAGGTTCGGCCATAGTCCCCTGTATAGTGCGCGTACGCCTCCTTCATCTCTGATAACGTTCCGCAAAATTCGGTAGGAGTCGCCAGGTCGCGATCGACTGGTGGTGTTGAGTTGCAGGCGGTTCTTCAGCAAGTCGAGTGGATGGGCAGCGAGACAAGAGACAACGCCAGCGCTGAAGCCGGCTACGCTCTCAACCAAAGATGCAGATAGGGCGCTCCTGGGCACGTTTGCTCGTTTCGTTTTATCATTTTGCTCTACGGGTGGAAATGCGCGGGGCATTGCGGGTTCGGATGGTTGGCCGTCCAAATCGGCAGGAACATTCTCAGGCTCGGTGGGATGAAGATGGTGCTGGGAAAGTTGCGATATCGGTGCTATATCATGGCGGCTGCTGTGCGTGACTGGAATCTGCGCGGGCGATCGTGGAGGGGAGAAGATGTCGGATGCGGACTCGGTGGAAGCTTGGGCCCACCCGCGGAGCTACTACCCGCGAACACCTCGCGTGGGACTACGTCACCCCACGTGGTCAGCACTGTGAGCAATACAGCATGTCGCGATGGTCTGCCTGGGTGGCACATTCACAAAGGTAGAAAGCTCTGATGATCACTTCGATGAAGAAAACTCTCTATTATGAACACACTAAACATACATGCCGCACCTCTTTTATACGCCCGCGCCAAACTTCTGATCCGAGCAACAAGTCGCCGACGCCGCACTCTCAGGCTTCTTCTCCTCACCAAACGCCATACGACTCAACTTATCCACAAGCGTACTTCCCTGCTTAACACCACTTGGAACGCTGCAATAGCTAGGTGGAATATCCATACAAGGATTACGTGTGAAGAAGTTGCGCGGTCGCAGCAGTAGCGTCATGGGCTCAGCAGGCATAATCGGGAAGTCTTCCGGTGATGGGAAATGCGTGATTCCGAATGTGTGCCACAGTACGACATCGGTGTTGTCGAGGTTCTCGTTGGGGTTGGCTTCGATCCAGGCGGGTATGCCTTGGGACGGCTCGCCAGATGTTTGCGGAACGTGACGGCCTGCTGGGTGGAGTTGTGTGTCGTCGTCTATGGTAGGTCAGTCAAGGGCTTTGTACATGATTCTTTGGAGATACTTACACTTCGTGACATGTACCGCATGTCTCGCGAAACCGGCGCGCTTCCATACCAAACTTCCAGGCTTGGGTAGTAGATCGGGCACTTCCCTGCTGACCAGTTTGTAGGAAGCTGGCTTCTTACTGTATGGGTTAAGCTTGTTCGTGTTGGCCATCTCCCATGTCCTGCTCGTTCCGCCATTGTAGTCCGTTGCCGCCTGCTCAGGGGTGCTGAGCTTCGTCTTCTTCGCGTAGAAAGCGTTGCCGTATTTGTTCTCCGCGCTACCGACTTCGCCTTCTCCGCGCATCGCGTCGACCATGAAAACAGTGTTCTCCGGTCCGTCAATGTTGGGATCGATGCGCATACAGAAGAGATGCTGGTGGTTGTGCGCGTTCACTCCGGGGTACACCTCAGTTCCCCAACCCTTCAGATCCTCGCCAGGAAGCATCGCGTAGGTGTTCAAGATACCGGTTAATTTGATCTCCAGCTGGATGGTTCCGTCAAGGTGGAATATCCAGTATACGCAGTACTCATAGTTTGCAGCTGTGAAGATTTGCGAGATGATAAGTTTGCGGGCACGAGTGACCGTAACACTGTCATCGCGGAAGTCTGTGTGCTTGAACAGGATACCAGCATCTTCCTCGTGGATGCAAATAGCATTCTTGATCGTTGTAGCCTGACCCGCTCGGTTGACAAAAGCAGCGTCCATGTAGTGAATTGCGCCCTTGCAGTCACAGCCCAGGCTAAGGGAGTTGGTCATATAGCCACCGCCGTATTCTCCTAGATCGAAAGCGTGCTTACGCTGATGTGGGTGTTCCGGGTTGCCGTAAGGTACGACCATCTCCGCGAGCGATAGGCGCCAGAAGGTATCGCGAACGGTGCCTTTGTCATCAAACGTGATGTTAGACAGAACCAAGCCTTCGCGGTAGTTGAAGCCAATGTGGAATTTCCAGTTTGCCCAGCTGATGTATCGTCCGTCCAACTTGAATGAGACGCCTTCTGGCTGTGTGATGTTGATGGGCTTCAAATCTGTCTTGAACCCACCCTCAGCCTCAATCGCAGCCGCGTGATAGTTGTTTGGCGGGGCCTGATTGAGCGGTCGCCGAACTGGTGGGACGTCGATATGAATGATCTCCTGGGTGTCGGAGTTGTAGATTGGGCAGAAGTCCAATGGGTACGTGTATTGACAGTCATCGGGATGTGGGCGATAGTACATGAGCGCCTGCTGAAGACGAACTTTGGTGCCGAATCGCTCATCGTAACCAATTGTCCAGGGATCGCAGTACACTTTATGCATGTCCTCTGGTGGAATGCCGATCAGGCCGCATTGTTCAATGACCTTTGGATCTTTCCGCACAATCGTCTCAACAATCTGCAGGTCTTCCATTGTAATCTAGATCCAAGTCAGCAGGATGTAAAACGCACTCACACACTCTCTAACGTACAAGTGGCTGCACATCATCAGTCAGCGCCCAGCTGATGATCTTGCCTTCGGTCAAATCTGCGTGTCCGTCATACACTTTGCTGCCTCGACCAATGCAGACTACATCAGCGACTCGATGTGGTCGTGGAGTGTGCTCGGGATCTTTCACCCAGCTCATCATCTCCGCTTTACGCGGCTCCAACAAGGTGATGGCGTTGAAGAACACATCGCTGTGCTCTTTCCGGATGATAGTGACTGCGCGTTCAATCTCCGACTCGCTCAAAGGATCAAATGGGTGTGGTGGCTGTCCAACACCTGTGATATGCGAGGCTGCTTGCTTCAATCGATCGAGCGCCATAGTATGGATATGATGTGAGGGTGGACGGATAAGGTTGATCACTCCAAGCTGTCAGGGTCCAGCGGGGTCTTATATACTGGAGGCAGATCAACGGTCTAACGGCATCGCAGCGCGATCTCAGATATCTTCCTTCGCTTCGAATCGAATCACGGCCTATTGGCGAATCGGTCAAGTCATTAACGCATTGTATCATTCCCATCTGTCAACTCAGTCTTGAACGTTGTTATCAACACGATAAGAAGAGGCCGCGGGACTGTCGCGCCTTCCTTGGTTAGCCTGCCCCACTTCTCCACGCACCTTGTCCTCTGGGCACGATGCACCGCGTGTATGACAGCTACCGTCTCTGGACGCTGCACCATTCTTCCATCGTCTATCCATCGAAACTGTGAGTGTCGTCGCAAAATCCCGATGCAGTAGGTCCACGCGACAGGACGCTGGATGGGCAGGTACGGCGGTCTCGTCAAACGTCGGACAAGAAGGTCCGACCGTGCGGGCTGCGAACTCCGAGATCGCGATCTCCAAACTTGAGCACTACATGGGGTCGCAGTTGAGCAGACTGAACATTGTTGTTTATGCTGGCCGCAGACCTTCTACTGACGAGCAGCCCCAAAGCAAAGCACGTAAATTCGAACTCGTCTGCGAACAATTTACTAATTGTCTTGAATGCGCAGGCGAGTTAAGTATGTACGCGGCATTACAACCCAGCGAGTATATCCTCGGTAGCCTTCTCGCTAATCATCATAGTAGGCAGTATGGGGAACCCTCCAGGTACCTTCGGAAAGGCGCTTGCATCTACGACTCGCAGGCCCTTCGTTCCCCTCACTCTAAACTTGCTATCCAGTACCGCATACTCATCTCCATCGGCACCAATCCTACAACTGCTACTAGCATGATGACTATACGCCTGCTCTTTAATATATGTCTTCTGGCTCTCGACCGTACAGTTCTGCTTCCCAATGATGCCCTCGCAAGGGTGGAGCTCTTCGAAGGGTGCCAGCGAATCAGGTGCAGACGGGTCCACTTTTGACAGCCAGGAGCGCACCCATTCGACACCTTCGTAGATGGCTTGGAGATCTTCCTCTGCGCCGTCTTTGAAGAAGTTGAGGTTGATGGCTGGCATGTCTCGCGGATTAGCAGATCGAAGCTCCACCGTGCCCGCTTGCGAACGCGGATTCATGTGGACCATTGCGCACTCGTACTGTGACGGGCCATAAGTCTCGTTGAAGTACGGAGGGCGATTGGGAAAGCTATCGGATTCGTTAGTGCATCCTCAGAGGAGGACGTGGATGCTTACCCTGGCCAGAAGCCTTCGAACGCGAATGAACCACACCACATGTAGATGTCGCGAATCCCCAGTTGCGAAGTGGACGTCTTCCAGAAGTTGGGGAAAATTTCTGACATACCAGTAACGGCACGCTTACCGAGTGACAAGATGCCGGCCTCATAGTTATCGGCCATTTGTCTACCCACACCCGGCAGCTCTACCACGGGCGAGATATTGAACTTCGTGAGTTGATCGAGCGGGCCAATCCCAGAAAGCATAAGCAGTTGTGGTGAGTTGAATGCGCCACCAGAAAGGATGACCTCTTTAGATGCGAAGACTTTCCCAGCGACGCCTTTGGAATCGGCATTGGAACGAGGATCAGCACTGTACAAGCTCTTACCTTGCAGGTACTCGATACCGACTGCTCTGGGTGGTCCCGGAGAGACCTTGTCGAAAATGATCTTCGTGGCAAGTGTATCCAGCGAGATAGTCAGCGGATATTTGCCAGAAGCAGCAGTGTCTCTGGCGTAGTACCCCGGAGATGACCGGCGTCCATTGGGGTTGATGTGGCTGACACCACCGAAAGGTCCGACAAGCTGGTCTCGATCTGGCTGCGCACCATTCATATCTCGCTGGAGCAACGTCGAAGCGGAAGAGGACGGGTAGTCAGCGGCCTCTGCAGCGAGTTCACTGAGCTGTTTGGCATCCGCACTGGTAGTGTAACCTGGGTCTAGCATGGTCATATCGAGCCAGCCGTCGTGACCATGCTCGTATGTGCTGTTGTAGTGCACCTTCTCGAGCTTGATGAGATACTTCCTCATATTCTCATGCGACCATGAGTCGTCTCCGGTCATTTCTGCGATTTCGTCCCAGTCTGCATCGTTGGGGTTCATGGTCAAGCAGCCATTGTGCATCGCGCAGCCACCCAAAGTGCCTGCGCGCGGATAGTACTGGATCATAGTCAGCATCTGCTCTGGTTCATTGAATGGGCTCATGCTTACAATTCCAAGAGCCTCAGAGTCCCTAGGCGGCTCGATACCTACGTAGAATCCTCCATCTGGCTTACGCCACGTTCGATGCAAGTACCTCGCTTCCCTGGCCTCGTCGTCGGAATGCTTCACGAAGAAGTCCCAGCGCTATGCGAAACCTTAGTCATGTCTCTACCACGATGTTATCTCTACATACTGTAGCGGGATCGTTGCCAGCTAGGTTGAAGTTCAGCCAATTCGAAACATTAAGGTTCTCCGTCTGGTCATCCCCAGCTTCAAGAAGTAACACGGAGTGACCGGCTCTAGCGAGATTGGATGCAAGCGGTCCGCCGCCAGGTCCAGAGCCTACGATAATGTACTCATAGGTTGTGTTGTCGATTGACGTTGAGACGACCGCTTGCGCACAGAGAGCTACAGCCGCAATGATTGAGCGAAGGGGAGCCATGATGGACGACGCGAAAGTGCAATTGAGCCAGGAGGTATCCAGCTTGTAACAATGGCTAAAGCCGAGCTTAAGTACTATCTCTCTTCCTATTCACGTTGACCGATGGTTGTTGCCCTGCCAATATCGCCGGATATGCAGGCACACAGCGCAATCAATGCAAGGCGATTAGCCCACCCGGGTCGACGAAGGCGTTAGATAAGTCTGCTTCCTCTTTCGAACAAGATCGTGAACAAAGATTCGTTCGCGTAACATATAGTGCGTATATTCCCTAGCTTCCGCTGTCCTAGCGACAGTGGCTGAGCGAGAAGATCAATGCTGATTCGCACGGTTATAACGCTGCATATCGTGCTGCATACCCAATAAAGCAACGAGATTGTATTGCTAGAGTGTCAGCCTTCGTGTCCATGCGATAAAAAACATGGAAGCTTGAACGGTGAGTCGGTAAATGCAATGTTGGAAGCAGAATGTAGGCTGGGGGCTGGCTGCTCATTCAGCGACGTCGACGTGACACGAACACAGTCATCAAGATCTTGACAACTTAGAGGTGAACGACGAACTATGTCGTTCTTGATTTCATAGCTACACTGCAACAAATCTCAGTTGCTACATGCGCTCGACAACTTTTCCTTCTCCGCCCCCAGACATATCCTCTGCTATCCCGCGAACGTCTCCTCACCTTCCAGCCTAGCCCACAATTTCGCTACGCCAAGTTGCCCTGCTCTTGCTTGCATGCTTCTCGATGTGGCGCTGCGCCTCCTCTTTGAACTGCACCTCGTCCCAGTGATAATTGAGAGTGACGACGGTGTTGATGGGGTCGCTGAACTCCGGCACGAGCAGAAGCGAGTAGATTGTATCGATCACGTCTTTGGTAGAAGTGTCTAGTGTCCAGTTGCGGTCTAGAATCGAATGGCAGATGCGTCCATGACGGTTGATATTCGGATGGTAGATGGGCGTGATGAAGCGTGCTTCGGGTGGTGACATCGGGTATTTGTCGCCCATCTCCAAGTAAAGGAGGAAAGTACCACCGGAGTAAGTACTATCGGGTGGGCCTATACAAGTTAGTACACATCAGGATTATTGGAGTTCTCTTGGGAGAAGAGAGAAGGTTGACCTACCTTGCATGACAATCTTCCAGAGCCCCATGTTCGATTCGCAGATAAAGACGTCGTAGTGCGGGTGCGGCTTGGCGCCTGAGTTACGAATCTCGTTATGTATCCTGCTCAGACGCACACTGCTGTCGGTGCGACTGACGGACGAACTTCGGTTAAAGAGGCCCAGCTCCACGAACGACTCTACGAGCTGTGGATGCTGCTTGCGATCCGGAAATTCGTCGCGGCTGACCTGCTCAACCTTACCCATGAGGTCAGCGACACGGAAGTTGGAGATATCGGGGGCCGCGAGATAAGCGCGACGGAAGATAGAACCTTTGTGGGATCTATCTGGGCGCTCTGACAAGGAAAGTACGGGTTCCATCTCACAGATCGCCATAGCTTCTTCTAGAGTCTTTGGTTGGAAGACGTATCCGCCAGTCAGGAACGAAATTCTCTTGAGATCGGCATTGTTGACACCGGCACCCAAGCAGAAAGAGTCGACTACGATGCCATCGCGCAGTAGTCGTGTCGGTAGGCTATGAGCCTTGTTTGTGGATCGGTTGTCCTCCCCGTCGGAGATGCATATGATTCTCAGCTTCGCATTTGAGTATTGCTTGGCGTACTCCTGCAGCTGATCCTGTGCGAGAGCAATGCTGTCCCAAATGGCCGTATCGCCCGCAGCTGCTGTGTTGTTGAGTTTGTGACGAAAGTTTTCAACGGCGTGGGTGATCTTCTGTGTAACAGAGGATTTGGTGCTGAAAGTAACCAAACCGAGATGTGTCCGGAAGTTGTATGCGAGCAGACGATTTACGTATGCATCGAACATCTGTTTCAAAACGTCCAAGCGGCTCAGTGTGTTGCGGTACCTGGATTTACGGTTGCCTGGCTGCCGTCCCAGACCTATCTTGAAAACCAAAGGGTAATTACCCCGTGCTGTGTCTTCATGACCAGTATCGTCTGAATTATCGTCATTGAGGAAGTCGTCTATCATTTCCTCTTCCTCCAATCTACCGGTACAGCTGTCGTTGTTGAAGAACTGTGATATCGGCTCCCAGTGATCCTCTGTGCTACCAGTGTGGTGACCGTCTCCAGTGTTCTGTAAGTTCGTCCAGAAGAAGAAAGGCGGCCCCACAGGGCATGATGAGCGGTTCATGAATCTCTGACGATAGTATTTGAACACCGTGGATGCTATAGAGTTTGTTGTCTGTTTGGGTAACCAGTAAGACACCACGCTGTTCTTATAGTCGCTGTGATGGTAGACCTTGACGAGACACAGCTCTTGGATATCGCTGCTCTTGTTTGATACCGTCGGTTCTAGAGGCGTGATGAACACCTCATGAGCTGTGTTGATCATGTCCGTAATAGGTTCTTGGGTAGCTTGAACTCGAGCATTTCGATGTTGTAGCTCATAGCTCGTGTAGCGGCCTTTGGTCAAACGGAAGGCAAGTTCCCATAGGTCTACCGCCTTCAGGTTGTGGGGGACATCCATTGAGCGCGTCTCAATTGGTGATCTGAAGGCGATGCGGGTGGTGCGCGAAGAGGCTCTTGTTCTGTTTCTCGATTGTGCATACTTTTCGAAGATGTCTTTACCGTTTAGATATGCATCGATTTGCTCTTTTTTCTGCACGTTGGGTCGTAGGTCATTGCTAGGAAGGATCAAATTCGTGCACGGCGATCGTTCGTTGGTCCGAAGCCTGTCAAAAAGTCCAAGTTAGTAGTCATTCGGATGCACTTTTGGAGAGCACATCGCGACCGAAGTCGTCATGTTCACTTACCATCTTTCGATCTCTTTCCTCTCGTATGTGAACCCATCCACGGTAGTCACAGGGTCTTGCATCACGTCGTTGCTGATAGGACAGGAAAAGTCGCGCGGCACTTCAAATGTGGGGCTGTCTGTTGGAGGAAGAGACTTGTACAGCTTCGGTATGACTCCGCCCGGCCTCCACATCAAGGGGTCTGACGCTGACGCATTACCAAGGCAGACAATCAGCCATGCACAAAGCAGGCTCTTATACTTTTGCAAGCGTAGGGAGCGATTGTTGAGAACGTTAATCTCGCGATCGGTGATTTCGAATTCGGTTCGATAATACCATTGACTGGCTTGCTGCCTGAAAGTTTCCAGTTGTGTCCGTTTCGTTTCTAATTGCTGATCGTCCAATTGCTTGAGGATCTCGAGCACCTTCTCAGCGTTTTGACGGCGGTGGTAGTCATCCTTACCCGTGGCAATGATGGCCAGAAAGTCCGTGTACGATTCGTGAGACTTCATGTACTCTTTCAGTGCATCGACATCGGGTAACTCGAAAGCATCGTTCTCCACTGGTGGCATTTGAGAAGCGGCTGCTGTGATCGGTGTCGCTCGCCGGATCACGATGTCGGCATCCTCGCTTGTTTGCACGTCGTCGAAACCACAGCGGTCTTTCATGCTTGCGCTCAAGTCGACGCAGATTATAGTCACTTCGTCCGGTGCCGTCATCATGCGATGATTATCGCCATATGCCTCGAAGACGATGGTCCCGTCAGCCTTCCGTTGGATGAGAATCGGTTCTAGCAACTGAGTAATGATCGAAACGTCCACGGCTTCTTCTTCTTCGGCACAACCTGGTCGAAACAGGAGAATGTCTCTCCCTGCCTCAGCACAACCGGCACGACCCACGTATACCGCAAGAAGGCCATTTCTGTCTAGAGTCAAGACAGGAGCAGAGGCAGAGGCTAGATTGGCGGGCGGTGTGACGCTCAGTTGGTTTCGGCTGCAGAGATTGGCCAGATATGTGAGATCAACGTACTCCGCAGGCGAAATGATCTTGTTGATGTCACCATCGTCCGCATAGCGAGAGCTAGACCTGACGACGTCGGAATTGAACACCAAGACTTGGGTCTTGATACCACCAGAGACTTTAGCAATGCGGTCCCAGGTTTGGTCGACTGTCGAGGTTCGCTTCGAGCTGTCGCCATCCGTCCAACACAGAAGTCCTTGCTCGACAAAAGCCTCGTGGAACCCCGCATCGACAAGGCCGGATGTTGTCTGCACCGGCTGTGACAGTACGGGCTGCATCGTGGTCAAGTTTCGTAGGTCGTAAACCTTCATGCCAATATACGGTAGCCCGGCGTCCTCAGTAGTGATTTTCATTTGTTTGGCTTTCTCCAATATCAGACCGAATAGCAGACGAGATCCTTCAAAAAACCGCTTTGGATCGGAGCGGATGGTTTGCAGCGGGACAACATTCTTCAAGATCTCGTAAAGACATTGTGCCAGCGCAGCACGTTCCGGAAGTCCAGGAGTCTCGCCGCGCATTAGGATATGTGCAGCTCGGATAGCGGGGGGGAATTGTGTCAGGAGATGGACCATATGAAGCACGGCGTCTCGTCGATCGTCCTCCATGCTTCCATTTGCGGTGAGCTCAGTGAACACGCGCAATGTAGACAGCATGCTGGCTATTCCACGGTCAGTCTGGCCAACATGATGCTTCCATGCTTCCGACTCCTTGAAGATGCCAGCTTTGCCTTGATCGACGCGCTCATTGCGGCCCATTGTCCATCGTTGTACGGCGTAGATGTCGAGTACACCATTGACGGCGCAATCTTCTAATCCGGCCGCCTCAATCGTGATATTGGCGTTATGTGCGGTGATCTCGATTGGACACTCTGATGTGTGTACGTCGACGACTAGATCTCGATGGGCTGCAGGGTCTTCGTCATCTTTGGAATCTTCGGAATCTTCCTCTCGACCTTGACGATGGGAATGGCATTGCTTCGAGCAGATGGCCATGACCGGAGCTTTGAGGAATTTCTTGTCTCCCGAGGTCCGGATGCTAGTATCCTCAATGCCGTTGACGACGTTCACATACTTGTTGGCCAGACTTCGGTTCTGCGTATGCTCCATGTATTCCTTCGTTGCTTGCTGGATGGCATAAAGGGTGATGTCACCGACAGGGATGGCGGTCACAATGTTGTTTGAGTGGACGAGAATGACCGTATGGAGAGCGTCGTGGTCCCCAGATCCGTTGACGTTGAGAATGGCATTGTCGTCGATTTGTCGAGCCAGGCTACAGTTGCACTCTAGCTCAGGGCAGTCGCCATCCTCAGTAGGGAAACCCAAGTGTTCTTGAACGAGGCCTTTCAGTTGCTGCAGAGTGCAGGTGGTCGGCACGTGCGTCGATATTGGGAGTATAGCTTCAGTATTGGACTGGGCCAACTCCGGAGTGATGACACGAACGCGTAGAGTGTTTGCTGTTCTGTCGGACGTAGCTAGTCGTAACGGAAGTGTCGAACTGGGCTGCTTCTCGTGCACCTTATTTACAGTCAGTGACAGCCTTACGGATACATTTTCTGGGGACTTACCTCGACGACTGCGTAGACTGTCTCTTCGGCGTTAGGTAGGACATCAGATAAGAGATCCTCGAGATCCAGCATCGGTCCATCTTCTGTGTTCAGGTGCAGAGTCATCTGAGCTCCGTTCGCGTCGGAGAGACCCAGAGCTGGCAGGCGCGAGGTAACGCTGTCGTGTAAGGCTGAGCAGAGCTGAGATGGGGAAAGTACAACGAGTAAGCTCGCTCTACGCCCTCCAGCTGCGACGTGGACCGTGTATCTTGCCATGCTACGCGTACGCAGGTAGTTGAAAATGCTGAAGTTGAGCCTGTGTGAGGTGAGGGAAGGAAATTGGTAGGCCAGACGTGTATTAGTTATAATGAGCGAATGTGCTCATGTGCGCTTGTAGCAAGCCACTGGAAGATGAAAGACAACGGTTATGAAATAAACAGTGTTTGTTCAAAGTCATGTCTCAAATACACAATCCGATCGATACACATGGAATCCTGGTGAGTTGTCTTGGAGTATTGTAGCAGACCGTGAGGTACAGGTACGGCCGGTGCGAAAGCACAGGTATAAACGAGACGCATGGACAAATTGAGTTGATCCAGGGATATGTGACAAAAGCGGTTCTGGTTGGATGGTCAAGTTTGTAGCATCAGTAAGACAGACAAGGCCCACGTATTCATGGTGTTGAAAGAAGAAGAATGCGGTGCATTGTACTCGTGTAGCCACGCAGCCTTACGCTGACGTCGTGGCGTCATGGCTTTGCGCAGCATATCGATAAGGCCTCAGAATGATGAAGATGCGAGTGATGGCTGGCAGTCGGATGTGATGAGAGAGTGAAGTTGGATGAAAGCGCCCGACAAGACACGTGTTAGCGCGCATTCCGGCTTATCGATAACAGCGCCGGGGAATTATCCAACTGTCCTCATGGCCCTCCACCAAACCACGACTTGCGCCAACCTGTCCTCTACCCACGCACATATCGCTACGGCCCCATAAACGTCCCACTCCAGCATACATCAAGCACACATCAACCATGGAGTCACCAGACACGTTCACGCTCCTCCCTCTCGAGATGGACCCGCAAACCAGCACCATCACCGCATCCCAAAGCACCAGCAACGCCCTCCAAACCGAGCTCGACGCCCTAAACAACCTCCACAGAAACCTCCTGCACGTTGAAACGCCCACGGGTACACCGCCACCACCTGTCCCCGTCAACCCCAAGCGTTCCGCCCAGATCAACAAGCTGCGCGAATCGGGCAACGCCGAGTTCAGGAAAGGAAAGCCCGAAGAGGCGGGCAAGCTCTACACCCTCGCAATCGACATGGCGCTCGCACGTCCAGCATGGGAGCCTTCAGGTCTCGTCAGGGAGGAGGTCTCTGGGCTGCTCAGCAACCGCGCACAAGCGAACATGGCACTCAAGAACTGGGCAGAAGGCGCAGTAGATGCAGAAGCTAGTGTGGAGATGAAGAAGGTGGGCAACGCCAAGGGCTGGTGGAGGCGGGGCAAGTGTCTGCTCGAGATGGGCAGACTGGACGAGGCAGAGCAGTGGGTTAAGCAGGGTCTGGAATTTGAAGCCACAGAGCAAGATCTTGTCAACTTGAGGGACGAGATTGAGAGGAAGCTGCGAGGCGAGGTTTAGGTTGTTCTCGCCAGCGATCCATTTGAGCACATGACATATGGAGGACTTCCGCCTCGTCACTTGTAGGATTTGGACTAGACGGAGGCGCAAGCTGGGAGCAGAGGTGTACGATGGCATTGTGCTAGTGGCATTGCTAGTAGGTCTCTATGCTACGAGCATGCATGAGCAGTGAAAGGATGGGCATTGGCAAGGCGTTTGGCGCTGGAAGGCGTATACCACACTTGAGCCTATCAGGATTTGAGGCATTCATAGCGAATCCATTGGAATGAATTTCCAATAATTAGGTGTCTCTCTTTCGTGCGCGTGATATTCAGTGTACCGAGCCCATCGAAGTTGTCACGTTCCATGGTACGCCTGCCAAGCTTTTTGTAATGTGATCCCACATACAAGTCGCGCACTCCTTCCGACAACCACCACACCAGAGACTGACTGCACAACATTGCGCCTCGCTATGAACGACGACTGACTACGTCAAGAGCGCGCAATCAGCACAGTCCCCTCTCACCGGCTCAGACACAGCAGAAAAGCTCCATCCCACGCTTCTCCTCACCGTCACAAGCCTAGATCAAAAACCCCTCACTCATTCCATGCACCAAATACACATACCCTACATAGCATTTCTGCACACCCACAGTACAGACTTGCTTGTCCGAAGGAGTCAAACGGGCCGTTGTAGAACGCAAATCTACCTGGTCGCACAGGACCAGCAATTTCTCAAGAGGGTATCAGGGGGCATTTCACCGCAACGGACGTAGGGTATGCTAATTTGGTGTTTGGATGTGAGTGAGGACGACGCCGAATTGTTCCCAGGTTCCTGCGCTGCTGCCGCGTGTGGGGTTTGAGGTTGTTCGTGCTCGGACATGTCTGGAATTTTGGGTAGGAGTTTATCTTAGAAGTCGTATGGACTTCATGCAAAAGAATGATGAGCGTTCTCCCGGTGACCCACGATGATTTGGTAGCGTTGGTTTTTCGGGGGCTGGATCTAATCTTCGGGCTGATAAGATGATCTGATAAAAGTTTCTGTTCTGCGCTTTCCTTTATTGGGACTGGCGTGGTGAGCCGGTTATCGTGCTTCCCGAATACAGAACTACGACCGCGACTCCTGGAAAGTTCAGACAAGATTAACAGTCCAAAAAGACTTACGAGCAAAGCCCTTGCAGTTCAAAAAACAAACAATACCGTACTCAGTGAACACATCACCAATACCACAAAGATGAACACACAAAACCAACAGCACACGCTATCGCAACCATCACGGTAATCTCCCGGTGGCATCAGCCCATCGGCGTATACGAAGACGCACAGTCTCACACAGTGGACCCAACCTACAGCTTGATGCAACCAAGCCAAAACGGCCCGCAAAGGGGACCCGTCTTTGCCCTGAAGCGGAGCCATTTCGAGATTTTCCTTTCCCGTTCGGCAGTACTAAAATGGGATCGTAGGCGCCGTCTTAACGCAGGCACGTCTCTTATTTTATCAGATCATCTTTTGCTTGCGATAAGGAGGGACGATGGCTGGACAATCCAATCTTGAGCCCTCGGGTGAGGTGTCGGTCAACGACGATGTGCAGCGTTCAGCTTCGCTCGAAAACGAGAAAAAGGGTGCGGACGTCGTTGCTTGCAGTGATGCGTCGTCTGAGGGGCGGGGTGGCAGCGATAAGAGCGAGGCGATTCCGCTGAAGATGAAGCTTATTGCTATTCTTTTGGTTACGGCAACGGGGTTTGGGTCGCATTGGAGTAGTGGTGTTACTGGGGCGATGAAGAGTACGGTGAAGAAGGTATGGATTACATGACTGCTGCTATGGTTACCAAGCTAACATGGAGAAGGAATTGCATATCAACAACGCGCAGTACTCCGTGCTGGAAGCTAGCGAGGACTTCATGAAGACAGCCTTGATTCTTGTGAGCGGTCTCGTCACCGATAGGATTGGTGGTGCCAGTTTGTCTCCCTCACCTCTTGTATCCTATCAATGCTGACCGAACACTTTCCAGGTGCCATGCTCTGGGGTAACGCCATCTACAGCATCGGCGCCATTTTCATCGCAGCCGCCACGACCGTCCGCTCATACAAGTTCATGATATTCGGATCCATCGTCCAAGCATTCGGCGACATAGCCACGCAAGTCGCCCAGTACAAGGTCTTCAGCTCCTGGTTCGCACCTTCCAATGGCTTCGCATCGACCCTAGGCTTCGAACTCGGCATTGGCAAGATTGGATCTTTCGTCGGCAAGGCCACAGCAAACGTCATCGCGAAGAATACTGGCGACTTCAGCTGGGTGTACTGGGTCGCTGTGTTCATGAACCTCTTCACCAATGTTACTACCCTCCTGTACTGGTTCTTCACGCGCTGGTGCGGTAAGAAGTATACTGGCACGGCCGATCCTGCGACCGGAGAACAGCTCACGGAGAACAACAAGAAGTTCGAGTTTGGAAAGGTTCTGCGGCTTCCCTGGACTTTCTGGAGTATCGTTGCGTTCTCCCTCTTCCAGACCAGCACCGCTTCCGTCTTCGCTCAGAACGCGACAGAGTTCGCTGAGCAGCGCTTCGACATGGACGCTGTCAAGGCTGGATGGTACTCTTCCCTAGCACAATATCTGGGCTTCTTCCTCGTTCCGATCATCGGCATCTTCGTAGACATCCTGGGCAACCGCATCACCCTGATGCTTGTCTGTGGTTTGGGTATGCTGTTATCCATGTGCCTGGCAACCTGGGGGCCAACATACGCTGGCACCGCGGCCTCCTTCGGTATTTACGGTGTCGCATCCATGTTTGGTCCCACCGTCATCATCGATTCGATTCGCACGTCCATGTGGTACCAAGAAGTCTTTGGCTCTGGCTATGCCGTCAAGATCGCCGTCAACAACGCTATGTCCATTATCATTCGTATCATCACGGGCGTTATCCAGGATCGCGACGACAACTCTTACGATAACGTTGTCATCGTATATGTTGTACTTTCTGCTTGCTCGGTCGTGGTCGCCGCGAGTATGTTTGTGGGCTGCTTTTGGACGAGCGATCTGGGGCATCTCCAGTGGACTAGGCGCCAGCGCATTAGGAAGGGCGAGATCATCAACGTGCGGAGGAAGGAGTTTGAGTGTGGTGCCGCTGGCGAGAGGAACAGGAAGATTAGCTTGTCGTTATTCGTTGCGCTGTTATTCTTGGTCGTCGGCTCGTGGGCGGCTTACTTCTGGGGTGTTGCGACAGGTAACAATGTCTGAGGCTGGAAGGCCGATTATCAATATCACCGGGAAGTTATTTCCCTCGCGAAAGACATTCACAGCTGTACCAGTCGTATCTAAACCTAGTTTCAATATGCCTGTCTCGATCCGATCCCAGCGCTTTGGCATGCCAACCTAAGAAGAGAATAAACGCTTAAGAGCCTGCATCTTCTTTAGATTACTTCCCTTGCACATTTTTCTATTCATGCAGTCTGCAGACCTGTTCTTTCTTTCCTTGTTTCAAGGTGATCGCATAGATCTATACACGGC